CAAAATTTGGAATATTTCCCTCTAGCCTGTTGAAGCTAAGATCTCTGAAAAAGAAAAACAAGTAGATCAAACCAGAGACTTAATTTCAAAAAAAAAAAAAAAAAAAGAACCACATTTTTTGTTAATATTACAGCTAAGTGCTTTCAACTGTTACGATATTATCTATATTTATGTATACAAATGTATTTGAAGATCAGAAGATATTAATAGGGAAAAGAAGAACTACAAGATTTGCAGTTTCGACATTTCTGATATATATTCAGAAGGGATTGGTCCATAGATATTGCAGCTCCTCAACATCCTGAAATATATGTTGATTCAACTTAATTTATGCGAGCACTACTTCTGAAAATATCGATATTTGGTTCTAGAGCTCTCTTGAATAAGAATTACTTACAGTCTTTTCATGTTTGTCATGTTTTCTAATTTTGGGAACTCTGAATCCCCAGTGCTTAAGTCACTAATCCTTCTGCATAAAATTGCAGCATTAACAATTCATCAGAAGTACAAGATTATTTATATTGCAGAGGTTAAGAAGTTGAAAATAAATGAAGTAAGAAGAAATCACTTACAATTCGGTTAGATTACTCAAGACAGAGATGCTAGGAGGAATAGGGCCTTCAAAACCGCTGGCTTGAATCTCTCTATTATACCAATAAAAAAAAAAAAGAGTCTAGGTATTAAACTTTCACATGAATTAATGAGACTGGACAATATGAAAAGATCATTACAGTTTTTGAAGCTGTTTCCAGCTTCCAAATAGATCCGGTATTCTTCCAGTGAAGTTGTTACTGCTAATCCTTCTGCGTAAGAGCCACATAAAAGAGACTTCTTCAGAAAGAAAAAAAAAATGTCAAAAGTATGACAGTTTAGAAATTTCTGAAACACTAACAATTCTGTTAATTTGGATAGACTTGTAAGGGACGAAGGCAGCTCTCCAGTGAGATTGTTGGCATTAAGAATGCTGCAAGCACAATAGGGTAGATTAAGCCCATTTCATTTCTGAATGATTTCCTGATCATTTACGCGTGGAACACTAAATGGTAATGAGGAAATGGAAAAAGAAATTCTGACAGGTTCTCCAAGTTGATCAATTTCCCTAGCTGAGGAGGAATGGCTCCAGAGAAAAAGTTGTTCTCAAGGCTCCTGGAAGGATTAAGTTATTTTAAACATTGCAGGGAAAAAAAGAGTAAGAGTAGAAGAAATGGTTTAAAACCATACAAATATCTGAGAGTGGTAATATTTCCCAAGTAGTCTGGAATTGGTCCTGAAAAGAGATTTACAGACAGAGACCTGAAAGCAAATTCACACCGACATTACATCACTGCAACTAAGCAGTTTCTTCTTATTCATGACTAATGAAGTATTCAAGTGCATATGTTGCTTACACATATTCCAAGTGAGTAGAAGCCCACTCACGCGGTATTGTACCATTAAGGTAGTTTCGAGTGAGATCACTGTAAAACCAATGAACAAAAATTGCTTCTCAACATAAGCTTATGCACTAATTTTCTTGTTTTAAAGTGGAAACTAAATGACATCAAGCTTCCCTTACATTGTTTTCAGATAAGGCAGCTTCGTGATTGAGCGTGGTAGCAGACCAGCAAGGTCGTGGCCTCTAAGATATCTGTTTTAATTTCCGCAAAGACAAGGCCCATTAAAGCTTCAATTTTAGTATGGTCTTGAATTTTCCAAAGATGATGCTTTGTTTTCAAAAAGAGCATGTAAACCATAAACTATAAAAGACAATCTGAAAAGAAAACTGGATCTTGAGTCATTTTGTCAAAAACTAGCAAACAGAACTGTCAGTTTGATGAATATATCCTTGAGTCCTGAAAATGGTAAAGAGAAGGAAGGTACACACATGGCATCGACATGGCATTCGCCGTTAAGGATGGAGCAATTACAGGTGACAGTACTGTTGATGCGAGATAAAGCCACATTTGGTGGTGGCGATGGAGTGAACCAGCTAGACTTATTGTTGCATGGGTTCTCACTGAAGTTCCAACCTTTTTTCCCCAGTTCATTTGCTATTTCCCTAAGAGCGTCCACTGAAAACAAACAATCAAGAAAATAAAGTTTCTAGCGATGGCAGAATTTCTACTTTCTACAGATATACATGCTTTATTAAAGAAACAAGCAACTCAAGAATCAAGATACCTACTTTCAGAATCTGGTGGCGAAGGAGGTTCAGCTGGTGGCAAAGGAGGTTCAGCTTGAGCTTGAACTTTGATTCTCATGTGTATTACAAGCACGAATAGTACAACAACTCTGAACATCCTTCCTTGATATCACTGAGCTCCACTACCAACTCCGTACCAAAAAAAACTACTCAAAATTCAGGTAATCTCCTGGGTTTCTTTTGTTTTAAGTTTATCTTTTGATTGGAATGACCTTTATACTACGTGCCAATAAAGAGAACAATAATTGCATATGGTCCATTTACGTCTGAGCAACCACCAGGCTGTCTGGCTGCACTGACCAACTGTTCTTATCCATTCACATGGTTAGAAAATCGTCGATGGAACACAGAAGACTTTTGACTTTTGAGCCATCCCTCGACCCACTAGCTTTTCCATGTCTTTGTCTGATTTGTTACATCTTTTCACCTTTTTTGAATCTTCCATGCAAGACCTTTTTCGTGGAAATCTTCATTGCATGCAAGACCTTTTTCAATAGTAATTTTTTTTTTTTTCCTTTTTGGGGAACAATTTTTCATTAGTATATTTGAGCAGAGACAAAGGGATAAATAACAGAAGCTTGAGTAGTAAGAAGTCACAGAACCATACATAATTACATATATAATTCAAACAGTCTCTTTCATTGGAGAGAAGCTTTAGATGATTGAATCTCTTCAGTTAACTGGTTTACAAATGAAGTCAAATGCTTAGAAATTAAAATGAATTAATTAAATTGATTTTTATTCAAAAATTTTCCCCAATCTCTCCTCTAGCCCAAAGCGTGAAAGTTTTGAGAGACCATATACAAACTATTTACATCATATAAAAGATGCCAAGGTCTTACCCACAAGTTGAAGCGTTTCTGGTGAAATACTTTCGCAGAAATTACTAGATTTGGTTTTGTGTATGGCTGAATATTCCCGTATCTTTCACTATTGTTTGTTAACAAGATTCATCCTTTGATGATTTCAATGGAGTGATGACTAGATGTAGAAGAAGAGCATAATGTGGGGGCAGCTGTTGAATTTTGAGTGTGGCTTCCACTCGAACTGTGATTTTCCTTCTGCTTCTGTTGACGAAGATCTCTCATGGCCTTAAACCTCAAGTCTTCAGTAAAGCTGCCAGGTTCTGGCATCAAGTCAGGAACAGCAATTCGCCCTTCAAGCATGCTCACCACCTCAGACATGGATGGCCTTAGTGATGCAGAAGCATTTGTGCACAAAAGAGCTACTTTAACCATGGTTTCTGCTTCTTCTTTCTTGAAATCAGACTTTAATCTCTCATCAACAAGCTTCATCAAGTTGCCAGTTTGTTGCCAATGACAGGCCTGCAACATAAATTTCTTTCAGCACAAGAGATATCTCCAAACATTCAAAAGGACCGAGCAAGAGGAGGATGTACAGTACCCAATCTAAAAGACATACGAACTTCTGGCTTGGCATATAGTCATTGTTCTTCCCAGTAACAATTTCCAAGGCCACAACTCCAAAACTGTAAACATCTGCTTTGTGGGTCAGGTGGCCCCATAACGCATATTCCGGTGCCATGTATCCTCTGCAAATTTTATATTCAATACATTATATTGAGAGTTTAAATATCAAAAGATGGAAATCTGTTGATCAATGAAGGTTTGCTGACTGACATGGTACCAGCAACTCGGGTGGTGATATGGGTCTTCTCCTCTTCATCAAGTCTAGCCAATCCAAAGTCAGAGATTTTTGGGTTCAAATCAGCATCCAGAAGCACATTAGTGGCTTTGATGTCTCTATGAACAATCTTGAGTCTTGATTCTTCATGGAGGAATGCTAGGCCTCTAGCTATCCCAATGCAGATCTTAAGCCTTGTAGGCCAGTGCAGTTCAAGCTGATTGTGTTCTGGACCTACGAATTAACCCAAAACATGACATAGTTTTTAAACTTCAATCTTGATTGCAACTTGCTCAAAACTTGATATTTTTCATAATAATTGAAAAGGGAAAAAAGGAAAGAATGCTGCAACACTCACCAAATAAAGCACGTGCAAGGCTATTATTTTCCATGTACTCATATACCAGTAGCAGTTGATCCCCTTCAACACAAAATTCATGAAGCTTGACACGATTTGGGTGCTGCAAACAAGATATCAATCCTATCTCATTTATAAATTCACGATTTCCTTGTCGTGATTTGGATGAGAGCTGCTTCACTGCAATCTGGGTACCGTCAGGCATTTGGCCCTGCACACAGACCTCTATCAGATTCCAAGGTCGAAAAAAAAAAGGGAGTGAGAGACACTTGTAGTCTGACAAGATCATTTACAAAGCAATTAGCTAAGCACCTTATGGACAGGACCAAAACCACCTTCTCCAATCTTGTTAGCAGAATCAAAGTCATTAGTAGCAGCTTTAATTTGCTTCAAGGTAAAGGTTCCTGTGGGCATGTCTCCTTTGTTATCTGACCAAGAAAGAGCCAAAATAATCTGTGATTTAGTTATTCTGAGAACAGATAATTTCTCATGGAAATGGAATTTGAAACCAGGTAACTTCAACGGTTCCAGGTCAATTAATTTGAAGAAAAGAGAAAGAATTACAATCTCTAAACAAATAAAAGTCAGTACTCAGGCTACTGATAACGTGAAGAATTATGATATCTATTGTTTTTCTTATTTCCCTTGAAGTATGGAGACTAATCATCCATGCAATTAACCATTATAAGCACACAGAGTTATTGAAAACACCTTTTCTTCTCCAACATTTTCCTAGTATATAGCCTTTCCACCACAAGATTCCAACTATGACGAAAATAAAACAGAATCCCCCAACTCCAGCAATTATATATGCAGTCTCCTTCTTTCTACTCTCGGAACAGGGACTGGAATCTGCCAAAACAAACAAAAAAATCAATAAATCAGTTATTAATTAGTAGTGTAGAACTAAAAAGAGAGAGGAAAACGTTTTTCTCTGATTTTTTGGAGGGTCTGTAAGGGTGTTCATAACTGAAGTCATTGTGGTACAATCCTTAATGATGTCTAATTGCCATTGATATATCAATCTCAATTCTTCAATCAAGTTTGCAAAAATATGATATTGGTATGTTAAATAATGAAAGCAAAATGAACACTATTAACAGAAATAATGTGATGATTCTGTAGTTGGTCACTACATCTTCCAATAGTGAGACATCAAATATGTTCTGCACAATTTGATTTGGGATATAAAGTGAAGGATACAGAACATGTACTTGATACAATAACCAAAGACTATCCGTGCAGGTAACTTACCAGAAACTACAGAAATAGCTGATATAAGAGGCCCATAAACACTTCTTTCAGGAATCCTTGTTGTTCCTTTCCCAGCCCAATAGAATCTGATCTCTAAGAAATTATCTGTAACACTGACATTAACTTGTTTTCCCAGAGGCTTCTGAGCACCCCCTGCCTCATATTCAATATTAAAGTCCTCCCAAACTAATTTTTCCTGTGACAAAGCAGCTCAACCAATCATTTTTTTTTTTTTAATGTAAGCTTTAAAACAATAAAATTTTCAGCGAAGGGTTTAATTACCTGAACATAAATATCAAACATGCGCCTGCCAAGGCTATTGTATGTTTTGTCATTGGTAAACTCTATCTCCGCAAAGTTTAGAGATAAAGTATAATTTCCATTAGCTAAGCAATAATGGAAGTAAGTGAGTGAAATTGGAGAAATGCGGGCTGTTGCGTACAATTCTGACATGTTAGATGATGGCATTTGTATAGAGTAGCGTATATTTTGGAAATCATTATCATCCATGAAGTCTCCAGTGCTACTAAATCCCCAGTAACTATTGAGTTTTAAGTAATATTTTGCTGCACCCCCTTCAACTTGTCCATCTCCTTCATACAAAACATTTTTACTACTTTCTTTGCTTCTTGTATCCGCTCCTCCACAATTAACATGTAAGCAAGTTGAATCTGTCACCATAAAAAAAGTTAGTACTGAACAAAGAAATGACAAATATTGCAAAAGGATGATGCAAAATAATTACAACTTTGTCTGTACACAGCTCATATGTTGTTTTCTAAAACATTATATCATCTCAACATCATTGAAACATGAGAATATATAAAATGTTCCTTCAGAGAGAAAAGGTATCAAGAAATTCTTGTTGTTTCTAGCATGATTGTAGATCATAATGTAAATGAGAACACATGATATTGGATCACTTGCTTCCCTTAAGTCAAAGAAAGCCCAAAGGATCCTTATATGGTATTGGGTCACCGTCACTCAAAGAAAAAAGAAGTGCTAGTTAAAATTCCACAACCCATAGAGGAACTTGGGTCAATAGTGTAAACTTGAGGCCAACAACTAACAGTCAATATGACATATTTTCTCAACAGTCATTAATGAAGACAAAACCAACAACCGTATGCAGAAAATTTTCAGATCAATTTGTGAATCTTAAGGATTTCAAAGTAATCCCCATGTTCAAACTTCAAAAAGAACATGTACTTACATCGAGGACAGATGAAATCATTTTGGCATGGAAGAGCTCCCCTCCTTAACAGAAATAAGTATAGCAATTAATTAGCATTTTGCACCATTCAAAATTAAATAATCTACATGCTTTTGCAAAGTTTTGAGAAAAGGACTGATTAAATCCAATCTTACAAACTATTCCTTGATGAAGAGCTACGAAATAAGTTTAAGTTGAAATTCCTGGAAAAAAATGTACAGTTGAAATAATTACCATCCATGAACCATATCAAACACTTACAACATACAAGAGAGAGTGATATAAAGGATTTCTAACCTGTTCTTCCAACAAGCAGGTTTCTCTGGGCTTTGCCATGTGAAGTTATTGTATGAAAGATCACTGCATCCAAGCATCAGCGAGAAATATCAACTTCTGTCAAATCAAATAGTGAGAATGAGCAAAAGCAAAGAGATTCATCTCTTTTTTTTCTAACCCTTTGATGGGTAGTTACTAGATCTTAATAGGTTATCATAAGGAAGGTTTTCAAACCTCAAATGAAATTTTATTCACTTCATTTGCATATTGATGGAAAGAAAAACTTTGTATCCTCCTGGCTTATGTCACACCATAAAGTTGCATTATACAATAAGGCAGATGCTTCCTTTCCACATTAGTACAGGTAATATCACTTATCTGTACATTAGATTCTTTAGATCAGTTATTTATAATTTTTTTATGCATTTAAGATATTAGGCTTATTTTTTAAAAGAAAAAACAAGATTGAAACAGATTCTTAAAGAATCTGTGACAGTAACATTTTTCTTGTTTTTGCTTTTGAAGTAAAAGAGCAAAATTCTCTCCTATTGGTGAGACAAAGAATCAGACTATCACTATGTATATTTCCTTATTCTATTTCTTCCAAGTTTAGAATGATACTAAAAGTTGCAGTTACAGATATTTCATCTCTTTTCTCATCAATACAAAATCAGAGCAAACAAGAAGAAATGAGAAAGCACACAAACAGAAAAGAAAAGGGACTCACTTAGAATATGAGATTTATGTGTCTAAGCTATCTTTTATTGAATGAACCAAGTGAGTTGTACATACAATGGATGGTGGATTGCAAATTCATAAGTATATAATAGGAAGCATTGCAGATAAGAAACATACATGCTGCTTCCGTCCTTCAAGACTGAATCTGGTACATCTCCACTTAGCATGTTGCCAGTTAGAAAGCTAAAAAATGGAACATCACATGTTTAGTATTCAAGTAGAGTGAAAACCCAAAAAAACTATATCTAATTAAAAAGTTTAGTTTTTGCATTTGCCACAAGTTTCCCCTCCAGTTGATGACTGACAAGTACATATAATATTAAAATATTATTAAGTATGCACATGTGTATATATATGTGTGTGTGTTCCTGCATATGCAAGCTTGTGTTTGCAAACACAATTCTGAACTGAGCAAGACTGAAATTGTCTACACAATGTCTTACTAACATCATAGTCTCAATGAAGTCCAAAGCTAACTAAATAAGAAAAATCGAAGTTAATACTTACAGAAATCTCAGATGCTTTACACTTATGGTGCCTGGGATTTCCCCAACCAACTTGTTAAAACTAACGTCTCTGTTGCATTCACAGTGTGACAATATTTATTAATTTTCCATCATAGAACATGGTTTGGCAAAACCAGGAAGCTTTAAAAGATAAGAAAACAAAAACTTCCTTGTCTGGTTTGCCATGGTTTGGAATAGTCATGTTTGTTAAGAAAGGACCATAGATTGCAACTAAACTTCATACAGGTTACTTACAACATCTGAAGATCCTCCATTGCCCAAATATATTCAGGGATCTCACCAAAAATGTTACAGCTCCTCAAAACCCTACAATGCACAATTGAATCACACATAATTAAAATGGACAATGTACAGACACCGTCAAACAATTCAGGATATCAGCACCAAACATACAATATTTCTAGGCCTTTCATGCTCGTCAGCAAAGGAAAATTTTGATCTGGCCCCGTTATGTCGCTTATCCTCCTGTATAAATGTAAGTCACAATAACAGGACCATAAAAAAGAATAAACAAAACAACTATTTTCAACATACAAAGCTACCAATTGGGAATGCAGAGGTATTATGCTTACAACACAATTAAATTACTCAAAAGAGAAATGTTTGTTGGAATTGGCCCTTTGAACCCACTGGCATGCATTTCCCTTCAATCCATGTAGGCATAATCATTAGAAAATGAATGTTAGATTATGTAGCATAAAAAAAAAAATTGAAGAATTGAAATCAAATATAATCATAGAGATGAACAAAAGAACATAAAAATATAAATATAGTGATCTTACAGTCTTGTTAGTTGTTTCCAATTATGAATGAAACTGGGTATGGTTCCATTGAAGTTGTTGTCATTAACTCGACTGCAATAGGCAATGAAATGCTGTTTGTTAACACAAGCATCTATACAGGGCCTAACAAAAGGAGAAATTTGAAGAAACTCACAAATCAGTTAGATTTCTTAGTTTGGCAAAAGCAGCTGGGAAGTTTCCTGTCAATTGATTGGAGGAAAATATCCTGAAATTATATTACATCAGCAATGAACACAAAAACACATTAGAAAACTCAATAAATTAGAAAAGCATTCGAAACAAAAGAGGCAGGATTTCTTACAAAGTTTGCAAGTTGACTAAATTCCCAAGTTCTGGGGGTACAATACCAGAAAATTCATTTGATTCAAGGCTCCTGACAGAAAGTGTAAACAATCTTAATGAATTGCCCATCAAATGATTGGAAAATGAGAAGACTCTTCGGAACTTGACCCCAAATTAAAGAACTTCCATCAGCACAATATTGTCAATAGTTCATTACTGAAATAAGATTAACCAAAGTTCAGAACATACAGGTATGTGAGAGTTGTAATACTTCCCAGGTGCTTCGGAATTTCTCCCGATAAGCGATTTACAAGGACAGACCTTCAAAAAGTATGCAGAGGCGTTGTTATAGGAGCAACATTTTAAATAAAACAAAAACAGACAAGACTTACATTGAAGTCAATTGCATTGAAGCCCATTCGCTTGGAATGGTACCACTGAGATAGTTATAGGCAAAATCACTACAACAAGAATTAATATCAGTTAGTACATTTTTATTTTATTGCACATCTCTCAAGAAATTAGTGTGTGAACCAAACATAAGATTGAAGCATTCATGCAGACTCTTACATCTCTCGAAGGTGAGGAAGCTTAACCAGTTGCGGAGGAAGCTGTCCAGGAAGATTGTAACCCTTGAGCACTCTAAAATACATTATGGTTCAGTTCTTAGTACCATGGCAAGCACCATACAGAAAAATAAATATGAAACTAAGAAAATCATATGAGACATATGAATTCATGAGAAGGAAAGTGAAAGGTTAGAAGAATCCTAGTGAGCGCAAATTATTCATTGATAATGAAGCATCTTTCAACTAACCTAGAAAGGCCTGGCTAAAATGAAAAAAATAAAATGTGAAAGGGTACCATAAAGGGGGCTCAACAGTTAGCACACTCAAGGCCTGTTACAAACAAGCACAAATCTGGGTTACACAAGAAAATCAAAGCCAAATGGAGAAGTGTTGGGTTTGAAGTCCAAGAATGAGAGACCTCTCACATCCCCAATGACTCCTTGGTATAGCTCTAGAGAATGTGTTTCTCATGTTTAGCCATCTATACTATCACTGTCATAGTAGGCTGAGCCGTTTACAACACTGACATTCAGACAAAATAATACCACAATGTTGAAACAAAGAACGTGATTGAGATTTTTTTTACTTTTTTTTGCCATCTGATTGAACATTCAACGTAAAATTATTTAGTGATTAGTCAAGGAAACTATACATCTTTACGACGTGACTGATAGTGCTGTTGTCCTCATAATCGCAACCAATTTCTTGCGCAGAATTCCTTGGCCACACATCTGTCAACCCGATCATTTCAACCTCACAAGTATCACCATTAAACTTCCAGTATGTTGAACCCATGGTACTAACAATTTGTTGCAGAGCATCAACTAGACAACATCCAGAGTTAAAACTGATAAATAAGTATTAAACAGCAAAGAAATGATGGGAAACTTGGGCTACAGAAACTGTTACAAAATTTTTAAAATATGTATCAATAACAATAAATTTTGTTAAATACAGAAACAACTTGTGATTTTGAGTAATTTACAACTATAATTTAATAACAGAAAGTTTCTCACTGAATTCTTCTGTTTCTCTGCTTTAGCAAAAATATCTAAAACAAGAGTCATCCATTTTCATTTTATTTCCACACATTTTCCCAGCAATAAATAAACGAACATCTATTATAAAAACACATAAAAAGATGTCACCCTCTCTCCAGTTTTTCCTACATTTTCTCAGCAAGCAAACAAAGTTAAAAGACAGCTCCCAAAAAAAAAAAAAAAGAAGTTAAAAGACAAACTGAACGAAAAGTATTAACTTTGACATACCTTCTTCCTGGGGCAGCTTTGATTCAGCAAACCTGAGCAACCTGAAACACCCCATTACAATAATCAAGAAAACAAAGATGTTCCCGGTAACCATGGCTATGAATACAAATAGCAAGTGGCGGCTAGAAAAACAAGTTGGGTTTTGCAAAAACTCTATGAAAAAAGGCTGAACTTTGATCCAGCTTTGGATAGGGACAAGATTAATAATCCAAAAAAGTTGACCTTACAAAAAAAAACAAGGTACTTGAAAATTTGAAGAGAAAATCTGCATTCCCGTTTAATGTTTCGACCTCCTGGAGGATCCTACGGTGCGTTTAATGTTTCCACACTCCTTGAGGGTCCTACGGTGGAAAAGGAGAAAGCTTTACCAAATTGCAGATTTTTTTAGCAAGGTTTTAAATACATTGGGGCCATCCTGTGTCTTCTTCGGTCTCAAAGTTTGTCCATTGCCTACCTATCACATCATTTTCCTCCAATTAAAAATTTGGGAAATTCTTTTCTCAGCTTTTATTGGCCTTAATAACGGTAATGTAATATCAGGATTTTTTTTATTACTTAAATAATTTAATAATAATTTTTTATTAAAAATAAAAAATATTAAATTTAAATAGTATATTATGTGGATGAAATAGGATAAAAAATGAGTTCGTATTGTATAATCAACATAATTAAAAAATAAATAAATAAAGAAGGATTTCTAGTTGCCAACTTGTCTAGGTTGAAATAAAAAATGCTTTGTGCTTTGGTAGACTTCTATGTTACGACCTGCAGAAGGTTGGGGGAAATTTGAAGCTGAGTAGTTTCTAAATCTGTTAGCCTTGCTTGCCAATAATTCTCGGTTGCTTTAATTTCTTTCCTCTTTTTTTTTTTAATTTTAAAAATAAATAAATATTAAATATATTTTTTATATTTTTTATAAAATTTTTTAAAAAAAAACTTATAACTATGATTATAGTACAGTACTGTCAACCCAAGTCTTAGTATGTTTTTAGGAAATATCTGAAACAATGTTTAGGTAATAAAAAATAATATAATTATAACATCAAATAATATTATATAATATGATAGTCATCATATGATATAATAGATAACTTTTTTTAATTTAGGAATACATTTATAATATTATATATATTAAGTTATTAATTGCATATCATAAAAAAAATTTATAATTTTATTTGATATAGTAAATTATAACAATGATTTTACCAAAAATTAATACATACATCTAGAGTCTATTAAAAAAACATAGGAGTATCAATTATTAATAATAAAAGCAGTTAGATTTGGGATTTCATAAACAATCATTAATCCTTAAATCTAATCAAATAAATTAAATATTTTAAAATATAAATAACATAATTATTAATTATATCCAAACTCCTCCAATCCCCCTATCAAAGTTTTACTTTTACCTGGTCATCTGCTCATACGGTCTTATAACGCTGCGCAGCCCAAGTATACCATTTGATACTTAGAAGTCAAAGGTAGATTTAAGAAAAGAAAAAAAAAATTTTAAGGTATAATAAATATATATTTTTTTAAATAATTTTTATTAAAAATATAAATATTGATTTTGATTTAATTAATTAATTAAAATTATTTACATATTAGTGATATTAAAGTACATATCAATTTTTATCATTTTTAATGTAAATTAACTATAAAAAATATATTTATTATATCTTTAACCTATACCTTAAAATATAAATTAAATAAACTCTTAATAAAATACAATTTATTTAAATGAAGATCAAAAAATAAAAATAAAAAAAGGGTCAAAGTTTTCACTTTAACGTGAATAAGAAACGTAAAATATTAGGGGTGTTGTGGACAGGGCAGTTCACCGTTTTTATAAAACTAATTGCGTAGAAGCTGAAGATCATCACTTTAGCCCAAAAAAATTAAAATAAAAATTCATCAAAATAATTTGAATAAAAAATAATTATTATATTTTTTTATCTTGAATTACATTATAAGAGATAAATTTCTTTGTTTTTTATTTTGTTTTATTTATATATTGTGTGACTTAAATTTAAAATTTTTTATTAAATTATTTAATGTATTAACATAATAATTATTGTATTAAATGGCACTCATTATGAGAAATAGGTTATAGAAGTAATTATTGATTAATAACTATTACTCTTTGTCTTAAAAAAGAAAAAATTAATTTTTATCTTGATTTTAAATATTATATTTTAATTTTTTTATCAATTCATTTGAATTGAAAATTAAAATTTTTTAATTTAAAATTTTCTTTTTTTCAATAAAAAATTACAATCATTATTTATGTAACAATTACATTTTTTATTCTAGGCCCTGAGACAGCCTATGAGAAAATAAGAAAGGTAAGAGCATTTATAAGTCACGGCATAACAATATAAGTGAAGGATGTATTATTT